ACACTGCACACAATTTTTATAGACTCTCATTTTGGCATACCTCATTCTGACAGTGTCACCTGATGTGGTCCATCCCCCCAGCACATTCTTAGTGATGCTACTATGTAGAGGTACAGACCAAAGGACCCCAAACTGAAAAGATCGTTGAAAGAGATGATGGGAGAGGGCTTAGATAAACCCATTTGTGGAGATTCCCCAAAGAGACTATTGAAGTTCTAAACTGCCTTTAGTAAAAGTTTTACCCTTTTTGGAGACAATAATTTTGTGTTATGAAGAGCAAATCTTGCCGTCATCAGGAGAGATCAGGGAGGGCTCTCAGTAGAGGGAGGGTCACACATTGGTTTAATAGATCACTGCAAAGGAAACAACAGCAGTACAAAAGGAGTCAGGAAAGAGACTTGCTAGTAATCCCTGAGGGAGCCATAGCAGTGCAGTGGGATAAGCATTGGATTGTTAAGAGCAAGGTAGATGGTTCAAACCCACCAGTTGCTCTTTGGGAGAAAGAGAAGGTTGTCTGCACCTTAAAGATTTAAAGCCCTGGAAGCCCGATGGAGGCCTTGTACTCCGTCCTGTAGGGTCAAAAAGAACATTGTTTGGGGCCATGTCTGACCTCCTCGGACTACACAAAGGAAAGAGTCCAACTCCACATCAGCCCAAGACTGACTGCCAAAAGGTAGAGAGAGGGCAGACATGCCTCTACCCTCTGGCCCCCTTGGCCTATTCTGACACCAAGTTTCCCTCCCCAGCACGCTAATTCTCTGGTGGCTTCAGTCATCTGTGCAACACAGAAGTCAAGGACAATCTCCATGGTTATGGGAGTTTGTTTATTAGGGAAGCTCACAGATGACAAAACGGGAAGGATGTAATTCTTTTGCCTGCAATGCTGCGTCTTAGCCGCGCTGGCACGCATGTCTCTGTTTGGACCTCTGACTGTCGGCCACGTGGTCCCTGGTCCCTTCCCTGCTCAGGCAAGTGTCACAAAGCTCCTGAGAAAGGTCCGAAGGGCATCCCATTCTGCAAACCAGCTTCATGCCCACAGCCCCTCTTCTCTGCCTCCTGGTTTCATGGCTGCTCCTCTACTGTGATTCATGGTCTGGGGGCTTTGGCCTCGGATGCCTCTGCTGGTGTAAGCCTGGGCCTCAGACGTGCTCTATCAGTGGATCTTCTTTCTTCTGGTCATGAGATTCTTCAAACTGCCTCTGCGATGACTCACTTTTACTCATTAGAACGACAGACTGACCGATTCCCTCATTGACAGTCCTCTTCCCTTTCTTTTGCACGATCCTACTCAGCCACTGAACAGGACTTAGAAATATTACACATAGACGACCTTCGCCAAGTCATTTCACTTCACCGTAGTCCCAAGGCGTTGAAATGAATTTGATGACTGCGAGTGAGCTTGGTTTGGTTGTGGACCACAAAAGACTTACAGAAAGGCCAAAGGACAATCTCTTTACCCCAAAGAATCAAAGTAATGCCTTCGTAGCCATCAGGAGATCAGGGAGGCTCCCTGGAGAGTGAGAGTCACACAGGGAATTGATAGAACAGCCACCTGGAGCACTGGATCAAGTGTTGAACACACCGAAACATCTCCAAGCTCCAAGTCACTAAAGAGGACAGGAGTCCAAAGCAACCCTGAGGCACCAATACCTGGGTAGCGAGGATACCAAAGGCCACCCCACCATCACGGAGTCAATTCCAATTTATAGTGACCTTGTAGCACGGAGTACAACTGCTCTGTAGGGTTCTTAAAACCAATCTCTTTTTTTAATCCCCCCGTTTAATGTAAGTGAGACTTTACTGAGGGCCCACGGCCATGGGGCTCAGGAGAACCCCACCAGAAGGAGGCAGGGGAGCCAACAGAGAGGGGCCCTTCTTTGATCTTCTTGGGACGCTGGTTGTTGGTGGCCGCACTGCCTGGGGCAGTTAGCCACAGGAAGGTGAAGGTGTTGGCTTTCTGGATTGGGTTACCTGTGTTCTTTGCTTTGCATGCTGAAAGAATTCACGCAGCAGAAGCATGTTTTGTAATCCAAGTGAGTTTCTATGAGAATACAGTACAGGGAGGGTGAAACCCACATGTGTGGAACTGGAGAATCCCCAGTGGCCAAGAGGGGGTGCGGGGACCCCAGAGGGCCCGCAGTCACTTATGTGCTCTTAGAGCATGCACTTGAGCAAGGGCAGAGTCAAAAGACATCAGAGGCCTGTGGCCTGTATACTTCCCCGCTCTGGCTGTGGAGGGTATCGGCTGATCTTATTGGCTGCATTAGGCCCACCTGTGTGATGTCATTTGCTGGTACCTAATGTGAATGTGCCCGGGTGGACCTCCTACCTGGACCCAGGGGGCTTGTGTGTGAACATACTCAGTTCTGGATTTTCCCATTGGTGTCCAATGGCTGCCTGATTTCTTTTCAACCCCTCTATGTGGGCCTTTGCAGGGAGACAACTGCCTTGGTCCCCAAATCTAGTTACCTAATATTAGGAGCCTGACATTGGCTGCAGCCCATCTTGTCCCAGTTGTACTTCTGGGCCAGCTGGCACAGGGACGGTTCAATGATGCTACCATGCTGCTCAGCACTAAGTGCAGGGTGGACTCTTTCTGGTTGTTGTAGTCTGAGAGAGTGCGGCCGTCCTCCAGTTGTTTGCCAGCAAAAATCAGACACTGCTGGTGCAGGGAGATTACCTCATTGGTTTGGATTTTAGCTTTGACCTTCTCCAAGGTGCTGCTGGGCTCAGCCTCTCGGGTGATGGTCTCTCCTCTCTGGGTCTTCACAGAGAGCTGCATCTCTGTGTCTGTGCCCAGGTCGCCCTGCTGCAGAAAGTACATCTTTATGGAAGCAGACAACTGAGTGGTTGGGGAGTTTACACTGTTGACCTTATGATGGAGCAACCCAATGTTTAACTCACTGCACTGCAAGGACTTCCTATAGCAAGGAACACGGACAACCAACCCCAGTGCCATCGAGGAAATCTGTCTTAACGAGACTGTCTATCCTTAACAGGAGCAGACAGTTCTACCTTTTCCCCATGGGACAGAGAGTGGGTTTGATCCTCCAAGCTCGTGTTAGCAGCCCAATGCCTAACCTACAGCACGCGGAGGGTTCCTTTACAGTGGGCACAGACCAATCAAACCACTGCCTCTAGTGGATTCTGCCGCACAGCAACACTACATAGGGTTTCTGCTGCTGTAAATCCTGAGGAGTGGAATAACCTCATGCTTATCCCATAGAGATTTCCCAATTGATTTCCCATAATACAATACCAGGCAAGAGAAATATTGAGTACCAAAGCAAAGCCAAATAAACATACAACCCGTAACCGTTTAAATATTACCCAACACAATACTCTCTTCTCCATCCCGGGAGCATGCTGATTCAGGCACATTTGACCTGGGGCCTCTGCGGGATGCTTCCAGAAGGCATTGGCCTCTTAATGAGCAAGACGTTTCCCAGGGCATTCCAGACAGCCTTTCTCCTCTCAGCTGCAGCGTGTCATCACGTACAGCCACTGCAAGTAGACGGTAACTAAAGCCACCCTCTATGAGTCAAATGGTTTACTTCTCATGCCTTTTCAGTTGTCCCTCTTTAAAAAACGCCATGCTTCTCCGTGTCCCGGGCCATTGCAATGAACCCCACTCCTGGTCCCAATTTTGTCTCTGGGTTTAAACCACTGACCTTGCAGTTAGCACCTACCTGATAGTGCCACCAGGACTAAGGAATGATGGACACTGAACCCGGCCGCAGCAGGACAAGGCGGGCAAGGAAGTGAGGTGTCCACAGTCAGTTCTTTTAGTCTTGTTTGTTGAATAAATAAAAGAAGACGAAAAAGAACCATTTTGTTCTTTTCAACATTCTTCTTGCTGCAGATAGTCAGCTTTCATAATTCGGACCCAAACAAACCAAATTCACTGCTACCACGTCAATTTTGACTCATATGATACAAGATCGAACTGTCCTCTGTAGGTTCCCAAGACTATAACATTTTGCAAGAGTTGAAAGCCTCATTTTTTCTCCCAAAGAGCAGCTCCTGGTTGAACTGCTGACTCCGTGGTTGCCAGACAATGGCCCTTTCAATAGAAACAAGAGGTTGTATGATATAAATGCAGGAAGGAGGAGTTTTCCATAATTTAATGTGATCTTACTTTTTGTCTGAAAATTCACATGAATGGAGTGAGTTTTTAAATAATGAAAATTAAGCAAGCAGGGGGGGTGGGGGGGGGGGCTAATGATACGATCATTTTGAAACTTTTCAGGGAAAACACACCATCACCGCCAAATTCACTGCTACGGAGTTGAGTCCAACTCACAGCAAACACTCAAGGACAGAATATCGCTGTCTGTGTGGGTTTCCGAGACTAATTTTATGCAAATAGAAAGTCTCATTTTTCTCTCTCGGAGGGACTAGGGGTTTGGAACTGCTGAGCTTGTGATGAGCAGCCCAATGTGTAATGCACGACATCACCAAGACTCCTTTACGAGGAAGAATTTAATTTAAAATGTGATAGAAAGTATTTTTATTCTAAATTGGGTCTAAGGAGTGGGGGCAGCTTGCTATAAAGCGTATCCTAATTTTTAGGGACAGAACTGCCTCAATTTCCCAGCCTGGAATCACTGACAATGGGCTGCGAGTGCCCTCTCCCCGCAAAGAAGGGCGCTCGTGGGTTCAAACCCTTGAGCTTTAGGGCAACAGTAGATCGAGAAACCACTGCTCCACCTGGGCTGCTGACTCCCAGGGAAGGAGCATACAATGGATTCCTGCATCTTTATGGAGCAGACAATTTGACCGCTCTCCTGCGCTGAAGGTCAAGCTCAGTCCTGCTGTTCTGAGAACTAAGAACCAGGGTTGCCCCGAGGTGTTCCGACCAGCGAGTAAGCACAGGGATGCTCCCCAAGCACCCTCCCTCCCTGTGAAGCCCAGGGGGGCGAGGGGTGGGGCCTCTAGGTGGGGGCGGTCCCGGGGGCGTGGCGCGCGGTGGGGAACCCAGCGCCCGGCCCGGAGCCCGGTCCCCGCCGCGCGTTTCCTCTGCGAGCAGCTCGCGCGCAGGGCGGCGGGGATCCTCCTGCGCCCCAGGGGTCAGATGCTCTCTCCAGGTACCCAGCTCACGGGCCCCCCACCCGGCGGGGGCAGTGGGGTGGAGGGAGGGGCTCAGCTGTGAGCGGCGGCGGGGTGGGCTCCGCCGGGGAAGAGGAAGCGGAGCGGAGCCGGAGGTCCCGGGCGCCAGCGAGTGCGCCCCAGCTGGGCAAGGCGCGGCGCCCCGGCTCTCCCCGCTCTGCCCCTTTCTGTCCGGCCCAGGCCCAGGACTCGTGTCACCCGGGAGTCACTTTCTGGTCTCCGTCCCGCCGGGCTGGCGCAAGCGTGCGTGCGTGCTAGCGCAGCTACCTCTTTCTTTTCTTTTTCACCCAAACCCCCGACCCAGTCTCTGCCACTGCCTTCCTGTCGGTTCGACTCTCAGCGACCCCCTTCGGAGTTTCTCCAGGAGAACGGCTGCTGCTTGAGAAGCGCGACCTTGCGGGTGACCAGCCCAACACACCTTAGGGCGCCGCCAGGACTTTATTCCCCCACCCATTTGGCTGATGGAGAAACGGTCGCCAGCACGACCAGCGGCCCTCCCTGAGCCAAGCTAGGAACGGAGACGCTGGTCCGGAGGTCTGCGGGCCCAGTCTGTCTTTCTCGTCCTGCACCCTCCCTGGCTGCTTTGCGAGAGTCTGGGAAACTCTAAGACGCTGGCTCTTTGTAAAAACGGGTGCTGCTTCTTAAACGCGGATTAAAGGCCTGGATTTTGAAAAGTCGCTAACTGAGTCTAATCTTCCAGTTTCTACGTCCTTGCTCACCATTCCGTTTCTTCTTGCAGAGCGTTCGTTCACGATAAAGTAAAACTCGGGCACTTCGCATGCTACACATCTCTCTTCATCTTCCAAGGTGGCTGAGGTGGCCGGCAGAGTGGGCCGCCCAGGTGGAGGTAAGTTCTGTACCAAGCCCTACCCTCCCACATCCTGTCTGTACATTGATATTAATGCCTCGCATTTTCTTTCTAAACAAGAGAGTCGTCTTTTCCTTTTCTTTTTTTCTTCCTTTTTTACAAATAATGGAAGAGGCTAAGTGGCAGGGTATGTATGCTGTGCTTACAGAAAGGTGAGAATTCAGTGGCCTGAATTTGGTAGTCCATGATAGGTAGTGAGACCCCTAAATAGGACTTGGCGTCATCCCCCCTCCTCTGGTCTTCTGTGCCCTTTGGGGGATGTTCTGAAAGGCAAATTTGTTTTATTGAGGGGAGGAGGGACTAATGATTTTTAAAGATCAGTATAAATGACTTGCAAGGAGCCTAGACAGAGTCCCAGACACACAGAACTCCCTGCTTGAGGATTTGATAACAGATCTCACATCTGGCTAAAAAATTCAGGCTCAAACCGACCCCTCCCTAAAAGTATGTGCTACAGAGGACAACACTAAACCTACAGGTTGGGGCGAGGGGCCGGCCTGCCTCACCCACACGGAAGCAAACTAAGAAGGAGAGAGTAAGGCTGAGATTCCATCGCAGCACACCAAGCCCTAAGAGCTGTTAAAGCCGACAACAGCTCCAAACATGATGTCCCCTCGCTGGAGCATCCTGCGACAGAGGACAATACCAGGACACACGGCGGGGACTGAGTCCAGTCTGAACCCCCAAAATAGACTGTGGGCTAGGAGAGGGGGGGGGTTCCTGTAGGACCAGTGGGGAGATAGTCATAAAGGTCAGCGAACAGACGTGGGATTATCTATGCTTGTTTGGTTTTTTGCTAGTTATTATGATTATATATATAATTTCTTTTTTTCTCTTTTTATTCAATTTTTTGTATTGTCTACATTATTGTTGGTTTGCCTACCTGTATAAGATAGGCATGGGAAGTAAGCCCGAGGAGAGAGCAATGTCTATGGGGTTGTTTGCTGAATTTACTCTTTTGAAAGGTCTTTTTGTTAGTAGATGAAAGAAGTTGATCGCTCGCTCCCTCACTCTCTCTCTCTCTCTGTTTTATGGTGAGGGCTGGAAGTTGGCTGTTCACTTTTCTGCATTTCACCTGGCTGGGTAACAAGCTGCAAAACCCGCTGCTCTCGCATCTGTTCTGTCCAATAGTTACCCGGTAGGATACAGTAGAACTGTCGTGTGCTTTCTAAACTGGAGAGTGGTGCTGAAGCAGATGGCTGATTTTTCTCCTGGCTGATTTTATGGTTAGCAGATAAGAAAGAGCTTAACCACTGCCATACCATAAAGGGCCTCCTTAGCCATGTTTGCACTAAATTTCAGCCACCTCTCATTAACAATCAGGAACCTGGGTTTGTAGTGATTACGGGCTGCTGCCTGCAAGGTCAGAGGTTTGAAACCACAAGCCACTCCCATAACGAGTTTTATTCTCCAATTCTCCCCAATGTCTACAGCATTGCTATGAGTCAGAATTGACTTGATGTCAGTCAGTTTTCTTTTGGGTGTTCATTTATGATAGGACTACTGATGACTCATTGCTTCTTTTCCATTTGTAATCTTGTTATATGATATTAAGAACAACAGTTTTCCTTAGAACTGAGATTATGAAACCGACTATCTAAAAGATAGGTAATGGACGTGAGCTATGTGAGGCTTGGTTGCATCCAGGTAATCTACAGAAGACCTAACTGTGCTTCGGTATCAGCCCATCCTGCCCAGTGTGGCCAGATCTCCCGTTTGCCACCAGCAGTCACTGAAAAGTTGTGCTTCCAAAAGAATATAAAACTTGTTTTGCTTTCCTCTAATTCCTAAATGTTTCCTCCCCCCTCCCAATCATGATCCCAATTCGACCTTGCAAGTCTGGCTAGACCAGAGGATGTACACTGGTACAGATAGGAACTGAAAATCCAGGGCGGATGAGCCCTACAGGACCAGTGGTGTGAGTGGCGAAACAGGGAGGGTAAAGGGAGAGTGGGTAGGAAAGAGGGAACCAATTACAAGGAACTGTGTGTGACCTCCTCCCTGGGGGACAGACAACCGAAAAGTGGATGAAGGGAGACGTCGGACAGGGCAAGATATGACAAAATACCAATTTATAAACTATCAAGGGCTCATTAGGGAGGGGGGAGCGGGGAGGGAGGGGAAAAATGAGGACCTAATGTCGGGGGTTTAAGTGGAGAGAAAATGTTTTGAGAATGATGTACAAATGCGCTTTACACAATTGATGTGTGTGGATTGCGATAACAGTTGTATGAGCCCCTAATAAAATGTTTTTAAAAATATATAAAACTTGTTTTGAAGTAATAGCTATTTTTTTCATGTTTTAAAAAATCCAAAGAATCAAACCAAGTTTGGTCCACACGTCCTCCATTCACAAGTCTCTGTCTTTGAGGTGACTGTCAATGGTTACATATTCAGGTATGTGGAAACTCCTGGCCTAGGGTGCAGATAGATCTTATTTTACATTCCTATTAGTAGAGATGGCTGGGAATAAATGAAATATTGTTGAAAAGGATCTCTTCTAATAGTCGAATTCCCTTTTCTATGAAACATATAGTATTTCTGCTGCATTGAGTGGAGCAGACAGGGTGTGTGTATCCCAGTTAACAAGTCTCGTCACTGTATTTCATATTCATTTTAATGGCAGTTATATTCATGGTTCTAGCGTGGAATGCCAAATGCCTACTTTCAGAATAGATTCCCAAATGACTGTTCATATTTCTCAGGGATGTTTCTCTGAGACCAGTGCAATGAAATAAAACTGAGCTAAGCAATGTTTCCAAACTGTGGCCCTTTTCCTGACATTTGGAAGCAGATGATTAATCTTTGTCGTTTGTTTTATGATATTTAGCAGCATTAGTGTTTCTGGGCGGTCCGAAGGACACGTTTGGTTGCTCCCAAAAGGTTGGAGTCCATTGAAAGATGCCTTTGGGGGAGGCCTGGCTCTCCACATCTGAAAAATCAGCCACTGAACGCCCTGTGGGGCATAGTTCACTGTGTGATGATGCATGGGTTGGCCAGGACTCTGAACGGACTCAGTGCCTAAGGAAGCTATTTGTTAAAGTTTACACTTGATCTTAGCCAAGAGGCCGTTTAGGCGTAGGGCATTTAAAGCATTTTGTATAATAGATGACTAAATCAGTGATCATGATAGACAGCCTATGTATCCTGTGCTAAGTTTTGTTTCTGAAGAAATTGCAAATGTTCAGTACAATTGTTAAATCTCACAAAGTGTAAGATTAAGTGTTGGAAATGAAAAGAGAAATTCTCTGGGCATTTTAATGTATCCTTCTAGTATACTTTGCACCTTTCTGTTGACCATGTTTGTCAAATTCAGAAAAATCAACACACTCTCTAGATAAATGGAACTGAAACAAAAGCCCTAAGCAAAAATGTTAATAGAGTCTTGGGCTTGATTAAATCAGGTTCAAAATTGAATGGAGCTTTTAGGACAAATGAAAAGCCGTTTAGTTAATAGTAGTAATTAAGGCTAGAATGACTTTCTGGAATCTGAAAAAATCTGAATTTTATGAATGTGAGCTCTCTGTGATAAATGGTTAAGCTCATCTCCGAAGGAAAGAATGTCCTGAGAACTGGAGCCTTTTCTTTAGTCCTAAAATGAGCCCAAGGAGGTTGGAAAGACAATCCCAGTTGTAAGAGGTGCGCTTTTAGTTAAGGATGAGTTGTCCAGGAGTCCCTTCCAGAAACCAAACCCACAGCCCCCAAGAAATTCCAATTTATAATGACCTTCGAGGGCAGAGTAGACCAGCATGTTAGTTTCTGAGGGTGTGATGTTTACTCAAGCAGGCAGCCTCATTTTCTCCCTTGGCATGGCTGCTTGATTAGAATTGTCGACCACGGAACCCACTGTGCCATTAAGATTCCTTCTCCAGAAATCAAACTAATCTGTAAAAAAAAAACCAAAACCCTCAGGACTGGCTATATAATTGATGGGACACCTTGTTCAAAAACGACTAAGAATTTCAAGATTATTACAGAAGGCAAAACATTAAGCCCAGTGTAACGGACCCAAGCCACGGTATTTTCAGTTGCCCCTTGTCACGTGAAAGTTCGACATTGAATAAGGCAGGCCAGAGCAGAACCTGTGCATTTGCATTACGGTGCTGGTGAAGAATATTGACAGTCTTATTGGCTGCCACAGGAACAGTCAACTCTGTCTTAGAAGAAGTATAACCAGAAAGCTCCTTCGAAGCCGGGACGGTGAGACTTCAGCTCGTGTACTTTGGGCCTGGTATCAGGTCGTCATGCTCGGTCAAATCGCGGGCCTGTGAAAAAGAGGCAGCTCCCGGACGAGCTGGCTGCAGCAGTGGGCTCAAGCACAGGAGTGATTGTGGGGGCCGGTGAGCAGGACCAGGCTAGGTTCCCCTCTGGTGTACGTAGGGTTGTGCTGAGTTCAACCAGCCTCAGTGGCATCCGACAACTACAACAGGCAAGACCTAGGTGCTTGTACTGGCTACATGCTGAGAAGCTGGCCATGAGCAACTCTTTGTACATAGTGAAAAGTAGGTTTATCCTCATGAGCACCAACCCCAAGTGAAAAGATTACTGCTGCCACTAAGCCCTCAGGATTTCTGGTATGTTGATCCCACTTGAGTTCCAGTCAGGAATCTGCATCAGTTTGGGGCAACCAACACCTTAAAGGGGCTATGGCATTCTTTTGTGATCCATTTGTATTTTCCTGAAGAGGTAGCCAAATCGTTTGGTAGGTCTCTGGCTATCCGCGGGACAGATTCCTTCATGTACTCTGTCATGGACCAGATTGCTGTGAGCGCCTGTTATGTGCTGAGATGTAGCTAAGAGGAAGGTGCAGGGTCCCTGCTTTTATGAGGCTGCCAGGCTAAATGGCTAGTTCCTGGATGGCAGAAATGCCTTATGTGCTAGGCTACTGGTCTGAAGATTGGTGGTTCAAATCCACCCAGACACCCCTTGGAAGGAAAGCTTAGTGCTGGACTTCTGAAAAGTCATAGCCATTCAAAACC